ACGGGAGATGTTTTTAAAAGGAAATTCATTGAGGAGATCCACTTCCCGAGCATTCAAGGCTCATGGGTACTTCAATCAATAGATGAATCAAAAGAAGTTTCTTGGATCGACCCCATTCTTGCTCTCCTACAAGAAGGCTCTCTCCCTGAGGATCCAGCTATGGCAGTACGGCTTCGAAGGCAAGCAGCCAACTTCACCGTTATTAACGGAGAGTTATACAAACGATCTTTCACAGGGCCATGTTGACCTCATTTTTGTATGAGGTCACTCAAATTTAATCAAGCACATTCGAGATGATTTGAATTAATTTTGATGAAAGTTTATCTTCAATGGCTTCGATTGAGTTGATTTAAATATGTCTTGGCTTAATTTAAATCTAGTCAACATTAATTATTTTTGAATGACTTTGAATAATTAATTTAAGACAAATCTAACAAAACTTTAATGCTTTATCTGCCCTTTTAGTTTCAATTCTCCTCAAGGTTTTAGATAAATTTCAGCTCTTGATTTATAAAAAAAAAAAAAATTAAGCATTTAATATCAACCATTTGATCAAGTTTTGAAGGTGGGATGATTTTGAAAAGGATGTGAGTAGCTAGGGCAATAAAAGGCTGGCTCTTATTCCACTCCTCGATCCCGATAGGCAGCAGCCTTTGGCTCTCACGGTTCCAAGCTCCTTTTCCCGACCTCATTCCCTTTTGATATCAGCTGCTAGGGCCGGCGATGTTCTCCTCATGACGATTACTCTTCTCATTTTTTTTTTTGTTAGCTCCATCTACATCCTCTCATATTCACGTTCTAGAGTATATTTCGGCCAAGGATGTGAGCTCAACCAGTTTTCCTATTCACCTGTTTGGCCAACAAGGAAGATTTGAAGCCGAAATTAGAAGATCTATCCAAAGATTCCAGCCACCATCCTTCTTGACCGGAATGAGAGCATGGGGCTGGAGGGGCCAGCCAAAATTATAGTTCGTTGAAATGGGGGATGAAGCAACCCACATGGCTGCATGAAGGCTGAACCGACCTATCCAAGAGTAATGGTTTGTGCGATCCAGATGAGGAGATCTAATCATTTGAGGAAGTGATCAATCTTCCTCCTCCCGTCTACAGCTCTTCCTTCTAAGCATACGAGAGCAACAACAGTATTCCGATATCAAGCAAGAACAGCCGTTTCTCTTCCCTCTTGTGTAAGAATAGCAACGGTAATGATCATTTCTTTCTCCAAGATCAAATGGTTACACTCTATTGTTTATAAAAATGAGATAGCTGCATTATTATTTTTATATCCTTATAGATTGAACATGTGCGAATGTCATTGGGAGTTCAAGAAGCCAGTATATAAATTCTTTGAATCTTGATATGTATACGTTCTTTGCTCTCTATTTTAATCTTTATTAACGTGCATATTTTCGGTCCTTCATTGTATGATATTGTAGTTGGTTCTATTTTTGAGCTTTGGTTATATAAAAAAACTTGGGATCTATTTATTCTCTTTGAATTTTCAGTCCCTTTTTCATGCTCCAAATGGCTATATGTTTTCTCTGTTATTTTGAGAATCTTGTTAACGAGTGTGGATTTAATACAGTTTTTTTTTAATCATATTAATGCTCTCGAATTAAACAATTTTTCTCACCTTTTTGTAAGGGTTCTACACAGATTTTCATAATGAGAATACTCTTGATTTAGACAACTTTTTTTTTACTGTTTTGGGAGGACTTAATACAGATTTTCATGATGTGAATGCTCTAAAGGTTAAATGAGATTCTCTTATTCCTTTTTGTGAATATTAGACACAATTGTTTGTCACGTAAAGGTATGTATATATGCTTGCTTTCTCTCAAAGATTGAAATGGCAAGGTTGGCTTTCTTGCCCTCTTCCCTTATTGATTCAACATTTGCTGGCTTGGATTTCAAATTTCTCAAAAAAGAATGTCAGGCAAAATTTATTTTTCCTCCTCTCTTTTGATAAGATATATGGTTAATCTTGTGACATGCAAGGCTGAATATTGATGTTAGAAAACTCAGCACTCTTTATATTTCAGACTCCTTGACATTCATTGCTCGATGCAAGATCGATACATGTTTTTGAGAGGTATTTTTGAATTAATTGGAAGGCAATAGAACTGTTTTGAGTTATCTTTCTCTTAGTTGCATTGAATATAAATGTTTGATGAAAATAATCAAATGAGTTGGAGAAAAGAACTTGGATAGATCTTGCATTTACTCAAAAACAAATTTGTTGGTTTCGAGAAAACATAGTTGATCTTATACTTTTCCCATAAATTTTGATGAGGATCTTTCTCCAATTGTCTTTACTTTGGGATAGAGCGAGTATTAAGCGAAAATTGAGCATGAAACTTGAAGGTTGTTCCTACTTATGATATCTTTTGTAGATGTTCATTCAGCATTAGAAAACCTAGTACACTATTGTATATATTACTCATATTCTGGTTCCTTGACAAGATGATATGTATTGCTCCATATGTGAACGTTGGAAGGATTATATGTACGATTGTATTTTGATACTACACTTGACCTTTGATAATAAAGGTTGTTGAAAATTCTCTTTTGTAGAAGTCTGCAAGAATTTTTCTTTAAAGGTAGATGGTGATATTTATGTCCTTCTGTTAGAGGTTTGTGGCATAAGCTCTGTGTTTTATGGTTTACAGTCGCAATTCGAACCGACATGAAGTTTAAGGGTTCTGAAATTCAGCATACATGCTCATGTCTTGAATATTCATAAATAAGATGTATGAGTCTGGGAAAGAGGATGGACCTTTGCCGGCTAAATACGTCTATAGGGCTTCGGCTCTGACGCATAATAGAGTGAAGGAGAGTCCGTTGAGTTTGCCTGCTACTTTTTTTTAAGCAGAGCCATGCAGGTCTTTTCAATCTTTGCATAGTTGTTCTTATTGCAGTAAATAGCATGCTAACTATTGAGAACTTGATGAAGTATGGCTTACTGATAAGATCTGGATTTTGGTTTAGTTCAAAGTCTTCAAAAATTGGCCCCTGTTCGTGTGCTGGCTTACTTTATCTGCTTTTCTTATTGCTACTGTTCTGATTGAAAAGCTTGTATGGAGAGAGCTTATATTTGAACCTGTGGTTGTTTCTCTACATGTACTTCTCATGTCTAAGTAGATATTGTATCCAGCTCTTGTCATTC